TATTTCCAAATAAAGCCTGTAAAAAGAACCGAAAATAAGAGTAAACTGTCAAAACGTAAGTTCACTGCACAAAAAAAAAAACAGAAACTTACACGATATGCTTATTTGACAGTCAAATCTTGTTTTGTAAAAGAGCAGGAAGTGTTGGCGTCAATACTGTAAAACACTGCCTCAAAAGGCTGTGGCTGGTTTCCATAGCAACCATTTTGAGTAAAACTCTCAAAATTTAATTTATCTTCTTGACTGCAATAGCACACAATTGATCTTTCTTCACCATATTTAAACAAACTTTTTGATCCATTAAATTTTAAGGTATAAGACCACCTTAATCGGGCTTTGAAAAACCCGGACCAGGCTTGCTCAGTACCTTCTCAAACTCATTAATCATTCATCAAAATCAAAACCGTGAAGGAGGTTTGAATATCCGGTCCTAATTAGCATGGATTTTGATGATTTTACTTCCACGTTAATCCTTAATTTTTGCTTCGATTGAGAGGATATATTTAACACGAGAGAGAGTGTTTCATCGGCTATCCAAACACTTTGAATTTCGTCAAAAATACTCCGCTGCGCGTCATATTTTCAACTGTCTTCTCGGTGTTCGATGAAACGCTGTCTCTCGTGTTAGATATATTACTTCAGAGTGCGTGTGTACCAGCTGATAGCTAATGCACATTAGCTTTGTCATATTGTCACCTTTTATTCCCTCGTGAATACGTTACTTTGTATTAAGTTGTTGGGAATTGTATTCAGCGAGTTGCAGGCTCAAACTCCAAAGAACTATTTTAATCAACCAACACGTAATCCGGAACATGCAATAAACGGCGAATCACAATGGCTAGAAACCGTGAAGAAGCTAGACTCAAAACTCCAAAAACAGCGGCAAGGCTGGCCTAAAATCTCAACCACGGCAGGAAAATACAACAAAGATGAAAATCTAAAAAAATTACGACAGCGAAGTTCAAATGTACGCGGGGGCACGTTCTGGGCCACGATTGGCTAGTTAAAATCACCTGAAATCACGCGCACGGACAAAACCTCGTACTAAGGTGAGAGAGCTCGTAAAGTTTAAAACATAAGTCAACTATGACATTTGTTAGGCGTGAAACTCAATAATTTGTCGACTTTGTAATCCTCAGGTATCTCAAATTCAACGCGCACTCGTGGAATGATTGTTCAATATACGAATAAATGTAGCGATAAAACATGTTTACATTGACATGACGAGGGCACTTGTCAGTTCTGTTTGATAGTTAAATTCCTGGTCGCACCCGTTTTATCTAACTGAGATACTTGTAATATACTCTGTAATCTAAGAATGTAGACAAGACTATTTTCAGCCTAAAGTCGGCAGAATAATAAGAATATACTTGCCGAAAAAGAAAATCAATTGTATCATGCGAAAGCCAAATCCAACGATTAGTTTGTTCAAACCTTAAACCGTTATATTAGATAGATAGATGGATAGATAGATAATCAGGTGTCTTATATTTGTTCTTTCACGACTGGCTCTTGACTACTTTAGCTTTGTTACTGAATTTCTATTTCACTCGTGTTTTCCGCAGTACTTTTTATTAGCCGTTTGTTTATCAACCGATTTTAAGTAGAGCCCAATCTCTCTAGAAGATTGTGCACTCTATGGTGCACTAGACTACGAGTAGTCCCTCTTTCGCTTAGTTTGTCGTGCGTGCCGCGAGAGAAAACCGGGAGAAAAAAATGGCCCCGCCAAATCTTGGGGGCAAGGAACGCACTCCTCGCCCCCAGGTTTTCGCGCGACTATTTTTTTTCTCGCGGTTTTCTTTCGCGTCGCGCACGACGGACTAAGCGAAAGAGGGACTACTCGTAGTCTAATGGTGCACTCTTTTTGCGCTTTATGCTGGTTTCCCTGATACTACTCTCCCTGGATGGGATGCTGAACTAACGCTAGTACCTAGTAATTTATACCCCTTGGTGGAGGGAGACTGGGAGAGTCAGGTGTCTTATCCAAGAACCGCATATTCAGAGCGGCAAAATGTAATAAGCATGCGCGAGTTTTGGCCGCGCGCCAAGCTCCAAGTTTAAAAGAAATGGCGGGAATTTGGTCGATCGTGTAAATAAATAAAAGTTACGAACTTTATATGCTTTTCCAATTTTTCCTGTAAGCAGCAACATTTTAACGCCACTAATGGAAAGCTGGTGTATTGTTTTCGTGGGGGATCAATTTTTTCGGACAAAATTAACCTAAAAGTTTCCGAGCCTTTTATTTCCCCGCGGTATGCAATAAATTTCGGCGCGAAGACACATTTTTTCCACAAACACTCTTTACATATTACATCCATATAAGCACACCACTGAATATATAAGCAAGAAAGCCTCTCAGCAGGCAGGAGGCGCCTTTTTTTTTGAACAGTGAAATGCCGAAAAAAATTCATGCTTGCCCAAATATAAATAAATCAACCGAGCGTACCTTATTAGCAGTCCATAGTACGCTGGACAAAACTGTTCTGGATCAACGTTTTACGACAAAAAATTAAAACA